AGTATTGCTCTCCTTACCTAATGATGTAAATGCTTTGGAAGTAGGTCAGAGAAGGTTTACTGGATGAATACATGGAATGGATGTGTTATCTTATGAGGAAAGGTTGGACAGACCAGGCTTCCATTTGCTGGAGTTTAGAAGTGTAAGAGGTGACCTGATTAAAACATGTAAGGTCCTGAGGCATCTTGACATGTTGCATGTGGAATAGATGATTCCTCTTGTGGGAACATCTGGAATTAGGGGTCACAGGTAAAAATAGGAGGTCAGCCATTTTAGACAAAAATAAAGTGATGTGACTTATTTTCCTCACAGAGGGCTGGGAGTCTTTGGAACCCTCTTCCTGAAAAGAAGTGGAAGCAGAATCCTTAAATATTTTTAAAGCAGAATTTAGTAGATTCTTGATAAGCAGAAGGGTGAAAGGTTATCAGTCGCAGGCAGGAATGTGAAGTAAGTAGATTAGCCATGACCTTATTCAATAGTTGCCCAAGCTGATGGTGTAAGTGGCCTACTCTTGCTCCATTTTGTATGTAGAATAAAGATGGTGACATTAATAGAGAATGTGAATTATACAATCTAATTATTACAGTGTTGTCTTGAAGTAATTTTTGTTGGTTTTCAGATTATACAGCAGCAACCATTCAGTTATCTCAAGAAAAGCATGTATAAAATATGGACAAATTGTTATAAGATTGACTGAAGAAAGTCATTATTCAAACATATTAAGAAACTCAAGAAATTTGATCCAACAAACGTCAAAAGTTGATGTTGAAATGCACTCAATGACCTTGCCAGGTTTTTAGCCCATGACAGTTGCATTATAAAACAGGTCAGCATTTAGCCAGAGCTTCAGTAATCTGCAATCTTTACAAAATGAAAGGGAAGATTGAAACTGCATTTCTTGTAATCCTGTTCAAGCAAACAGTTTAAGTCAGAGAGCTATCCTGATGTTTGGGCTTTACTTAAAACATAAAATTTCAAAATCAGTACTTCCTAATGGTAAATGGAATCACAGTAGCCTTACAGCCACAATATTGGGAAAAAGGAAGTGTGTAGGAATTTCCCTTTAAGCAATTCTATGTGTCACATGTTATAGAACAATTTACTTGTCTGTCACCACCTTTATTTAGCCAATGAGTAAAGTATAAATAAACTTCTGTGTTCAAAATACTCACCATTTCGCTTTCAGCAGTCTAAAAATGTAAATGTACTAGACACTTTACACCTATTTAAAAACTGAATGTAATAAATACGTCAGGTAAGTGAGCAGATGTGACAAGAATTAAGCTAATTTTTCTGATAGGATCCTTCACAAGCTCATATTTCTTTCATATTTTAAAAGTGTAAATGAAGAGGCTTCTTAAATCTGAAATCCCACTGGACATTCCTGTCATACCTTTAGCAAGAGACTGTTGGGTTGACCAGATCTCAGTCCTGAACTGGAATTTCTGGAATAAAATGTGAAAGGTATAGATTTTGCTTGTCTGAAACTTTCTCAGCCCTCATAGCGTGACGTTGAGTAAGCTAGTCTGTCAACTGTTGGATATGCAAGCCCCCTGCTGATTTAGAAAGCGACCAATGGCCTGACATTTTACGTGCTTGTCCATATGCTCCTTAAATGTTGCAGGAGAACCTGCCTCCAGGTTTCACATTTCTACCACTTTCTGGATGAAGATTTTCCTCAGATCCCCTCTAAACCACTTACTCTTCATCTTAAACATATGCCCTCTGGTCTTAGACCTGTCTGCCATGAGAAAGAGATTCTCACAATCTACCCTTTCTATGCCTCTCACAGCTTTGTATGCCTCAATCAGATCCCCACCAGCCTCCTCTGCTCCAAGGAAAAAAAACCGAGCCTGTCCAGTTTCTCCTCATAACTGAGGCTTTCCATTGCAGGCAAAGTTCTGGTGAATCCCCTCTGCACCCTCTCCAATGCAGTCACATCTTTCCAATAGTGTGGTGACCAGAACTGCATAGAGTATTCCATCTGTGGCCTAACTAATGTTTTATAAAGTTGAAACTATAACTTTATAAAGATAGTATAAAGACTTCTTTGCTCCTAAATCCTATATCTCAGCCAATGAAGGCAAGAATCTTGTATACCTTCCTCACTACCCTATCTGTCTGTGCTGACACCTTCAGTGATCTGTGGACTTACACACCTAGATCCCCTTGTTCTTGAGTATTCCCAGGGAGCTACCATTCATTGTGTACATCCTTCCCTTATTGTCCTCCCAAAATATATTGCCTTACAGTTACCAGGATTAAATTCCAACTGCCTAGCAGCGCCCAATTTATCAGCTAATCAATATCAGTCTTAGCCTGAGACTATCCTCCCCACCAACAACAACATCACCAATGTGGAGGATGGTCACCGGACCCAAATGTTAACTCTGATTTTTTTCTTCACTGATGCTGCCAGACCTGCTGAGCTTTTCCAGCAACTTCTGTTTTTGTAACATCACCAATGTCCATATTATCTGCAAACTTAAAAATCATATCTTGTACATTCACATCCAAGTAATTAACACAATTGCATAATAAATAGCAAGGCTCCCAGCACCTGTCCCTGTGGTACAATGCTGGTTACAAGTTTTCAGTCACAAAAACAACCCTCCACCATCACCCTTTGCCTCCTTTATGTAAGCTAATTTTGGATCCAGTTTGCCAACTTGTCTTGGGGATCTGATGGGTTCTTACCTTTTGGACCAGCCTTCCATGTGGGACCTTGTCAAAGACCTTACTGAAATTCATGTAAACCACATCAACTGTATTGCCCTCATTGATATATTTAATTAGTTTTTTTAAAAAAACTTAATTAAATTAGTCAGACAGGATCTCCCAGGTTCAGCTGGTAAAGGTTCCACCTACCCCAGAATCAGTCCTAATGATCCAAAAATCTAAAACCCTCCCTCCTCCAACGTTCCTTTAGCCTCGCGTTCATCCAACCTATCTTCCTATTCGTTAAACTCAGCAGCACGTGGTACTGGAAGTAATCCAGAGATTACAACATCAGTAGTCTTCCTCACTAATCTACTACCTAACCCTGTAAATTCCTCTTGTGGGACTTCATGTCTTTTTTCACCCACATATTGGTGTCAGGAGACTATTCACATTCCCCTGGTAGCCGCTCTGAGACATCCCTGACCCTGGCACCAGGGTGGCAACATGCCATTCGAAAGTCTCGATCGTTGCCTCAGAACTGCCCATCAGTTTCAATTTTACTTTTGTACTATGTTAAGCATTTCCCTCATAGAGGAGGTCATGGGGGCAACTATAACCTCTTTCTGAGGGGTACCCAGCATCTCCCCAAAATCAGATACTTGTGCAGGACCTTTCGAATTCCCAGTAAATGCAGATGGTTTTCGATGTGCCCTTTGTGAAACAGGACTTCACCTCTCCCCTCCCCCCCCACCAACTATTCACCCAATAATGAAGGAACCTTCTTTGAATTCACAAGAATTCGCAGAGTTATTGCATGTCAGTGGAAACCAAACAGATGCAATTTGGCACTAAAGCCTCTCCTTCTAGGGTCTTCTATTTCCTTGACATTAAAGCATTGCTCATCATTGCTCATTCAGGACTGACATGATCTGTAAATTCCATGAATCTCTGTAACATGGAAGTAGATTTATTACTAAAAACATTATCTAAGTTATGTCTCTTACATTAACAGTTGTTAAACTATGTTCCCTATCAGCTTATGTCAACATACTATTTGTGTCATCATGGAAACTGCGTGGCTTTTGTTAAATAAACAGACTTTTTCCAATAGGTTTAGTTCGACTCTATATCACATCGAAGGTTAATAACACGGAGTACAAAATTGAACCCGAGCATCCCAGCAGAAGTTAATACAGGACATAGTTGTATTGTGTGTTCCCAGAGCAATTGTAAAAGGGGCCCTGACTGTGAATCACTTTTAAATCCTTTCATTTTAAATTACTTTGATTCCAGAATGGACCCTTTATTTATAAAAGCCAGTTCTAATTGCATTTGCATTTGCCTATCATTGTAATTACTTTGATAAGCAATTTTTAATATACGCAATGGATTAATATTATAGTTTACATACTCGTATATCATTTTACTTCATTCCCAGCATTGACTTTGACTTTGATTTTGAATAACGGGGTCTTCATTTTTTGGCATCAGGTAGATTGCTCCTCCTTTTCCAGGTACACCAAGCTAGTTCTCGTTTGTCATTCTTTTATTTTGTTTCACTGCATAATTTTAAAAAAAAACTTCCAGTAAGATACAGGACTGATGAACATCCAAATCATCTCATGTAGTCCCTTCACCCACAGAATTCCAACAGTGAATATAAAACAAAAATCGAAATATCAGTGCCAGTATGTTTCTCCTGCACATTAAAAACACTGAAATACAGGCTCCTCAAATTTTTGTAATTTCCAGGCTGTTACCCTTCCTCAGAAACATCATTTCATGAAAGGCATGTTTCTGAAAACAGGACCACAACATTTTCTGTTTTCAAATGATAACATCTAAAATCTTGTATATTGAGCTGATGGTTCATCTTTTCCCCTGAATATTGTCCTCAGTGTTTGGCAGCTTTATGTCCACAGAATTAGGTCTGTTTCCATGGCTGTATGACTTTATAATTAGTTGTGACCTTCCAATTTCAAAGAATGTACTCAAGTAGTAGGAAAAATATCTATTTATACTTGTAGGACCACTGCCATGGCAGTTTAAACAGAAATATTTCCTGTTATGCTTCAAAAAGGAAAAATCTTAGCTATTATACTCTGACATTATGCATTGGAAGCAAACGAGCACCTTTTTGCAAGAAATCCCTGTTCACCCCACCCCCCAACCCAATTATTCAGTAAATAGTGTTTGACCCCACTGCTTCTTCTCATGCTCCCTTCCAATCATTGCCATTCTCTTATGATGTGATTTAAAGTGGAGACCAGCAGATCCCTTACCAGAAGAAACAGAGAAACAGTCGATTTCACTTATCCCACATTGTTCTCATCCACTTCTTAACCTCCTATATTTGAAAGCTACTGTAGGCTTAGGAGGAAAATACGCTAGGAGGCTCACTAAGAGAAGAAAGAGAAAGATAGTCAAAAGGATTGAGTCTCTAAACAAGATAAAGAACACTGTTCATGTTGCTTACTCCAGGAATTAATTTTAAACAAACTACAATCTTTAAACAAGGCATTCATTTGTTTTACGATTGCAATTTAGAGAATTTAAAGAAAACTTTGATATATAATTAAATCCTTTAAACACACTGGGTGAGCAATGTGAGTTGCTGACGCAATATTAAAAGCAACTCTAGTAAACAAGTGTCAACAATGAATAAACACTGTGGAAGGATGGGATCTGGATGGGGTACCAGCTGAATGTATGATAATATCCTCCATTTTACACTCTTCTTTTGAGAGGTAAGCTGTCTATGATTGTTTCAGAAAATGCAAATCTTGTGTTTAGTCAAAAACTTTAGATTGTATTTACTGTTGTAACACGAGGATTGACTTTAATTTGCAAGAAGGAAGTGTGTATTAAATAAAAAGTGACATACAGGCTCTTTAGCTACTGCTTGCATTTAATGTTTCAGAGTGAAATCCTTCTTCAGATGTGTTGTTTAATGAAAACTGTTGTTTCTGAAGCAGGACCATAATTGTATGTTTTAAGATAACATCCAAAATTGTGTATAATGGTTAATTTATTTTCTGAAAGTTGTTTACAAAGTTCTGCTCTGTACTTGGATATCTGTATAATCATTTGTAATCACTTCCCGCCCCATTTTATAGAACTGAGTAAAGTAGCGGGAAATTGTAAAGTATTATTTATGTAGAGTAACTGCCAACAGAAATGAACAGCTACATACTCAACTGGGCCTCAAAGGGGAAAATCCTAAGCTAACTGAGAATTTAATTCAAAACAAAGTCTTGCGAGCAGCTGGATGAAGATAGTGGAAGTACAAAATGCCTACAAAATAAATTTAATGCATGATGGTGAATTACTGCACCTGATGGAATCTTGCCAAGTGCTGTTTCTTTTACATTTATATTTAAACACTACAATTTCCAGTAAAATTACAATGTCATTTTCTATCAAGTTATTAGGTAAAGCAACATTTCACCTTGAGATCTCATCTGACATTATAATAATTTTAACAGGTTTAAAGGGTAAAAAAAAAATTGGCAAGCAACACAAGCAAAAAGTAAAGGGAGCTTTGCAGCCTGTCAAAATTATTTATTTAAAAACTGAAAGAAGTGTGAATGCTGTAAATCAGGAACGAAAACAAATTTGCTGGAAAAGCTCAGCAGGTCTGGCAGCATCTGTGAAGGAAACGTTAACTCTGAGTTTTCCTTCACAGATGCTGCCAGATCTGCTGAAAATTATTCATTTGTTTGGAATTGAAATTCCTTCTTTCTAAAATATAATGGAAGAAAATTTCTGTGTGAAGAACCAACACTGTATATGCTTTACAAGCCCCAAACTGTACAGGCCTAAGCCTCATGAGAAATTTGGACTTCAGGCCTCTATTAAATGACTTATTCAAGCTGTTGTTGATGATTGCATCTCTCCAAAGGCAGCTCTTACATTTCAAAGTATTCATTCCACGTTGCCTGCCTCAGCAGCAGCAATCCCCCTTTAAGTCCTGGGAGTATGGGGATCAATACTGCGAAAGGAAGCCACTCATATATTAATGGTAGTGCACAAGTGTGTTGGGGAGCTGGGATAAATATTCATTTCTTACACTTTTTGTTTTCACCTAGGAAGCAACGAGACAAAATCCAATTTGATAAATATGTCCTAAACCAGGTTCCTCCTTGACAAATGCAAGAGGCCTAATTCCTTTCCACAGTGACAAACAAAAAAATCATTCAAAGCAAACTGAAGTTGGACACAGTTTAGAAATCCAAGGATAGAAGTATTTCAGGGCCCTTGGTGTTCAGGGAAAAGGTTTGACCTGTTTTCTATCTGCATAATGATTTCTACTTTCCAACCCCTGTCATCTTCATTCCTCTTCATAAATATCAGGATTGTTTATATGTTTAGTTTTGTCATGAAGCTGATTGGCAGGGAAATTCATGACCACTTTTGGCAATTTAGTAACATCACAGGTGATTTATTACAGATAAATGAAATGTTAAATATGTAATGAGTTGTTGTAATATCTGGTGAATTGGTCAGTATGTTTTAAGTTGTATAAAATTGGAGAATGCTTTCTGTGATTTCCAATATGCTTTAATTTAACCTTGGATTTCTTATTGGAAATTCTAATTTGTAGATGTTATGTCAGATCACCTACACTTGAAGTGAAAACATTTTAGAAACATTGCAGCAAGGTATGAAAAGAATAGATTTTTGACCTTGCGTGATAGTATAAAAAAAAAACAAGTTGGCAGTAACCTTTTACTGCTTTCCCAATATCCCATTGGTTTTAAGAGAGTGATATAAAATGTGCTGTCAATACATTATCATCCATTTTACACAAATGTTCAAATACAAAGCAACCGCGGAAGCAGACATAATTATCAGTTCTGAGTCCTGCTGCATTTCATCCTTTTGCAGGTTAGAAACATCTGGAAGAATGGAAGTTGGGTGGGTGAGGAGATTCTTGTGTTTGATCATAGTTCTCCAAGTACAGACATTGTCCTTCACTGAAACCCATGGTCCTGCCTCAGACATCTGTGCAACTCATATCATCTTGCCAGGTCCTAAAGGTAAAGAGGATATATTGCAGACAAACAATAACAACTGCGTCATGAAAGTGTTAACTGTTATTATAGTAATGCATTTATTGAACTGATTTCTCTGTAACTAATAAGAGACCAAAATTTCACTTTGACTTCACACTACGGTGGCTCAGTGGTTAGCATCGCTGCCTCATTGCACTAGGGACCCAGGTTTGATTCCAGCCTTGGGCGACTGTCCGCGTGGAGTTTGCACCCTCTCCCTGTGTCTGCGTGGGTTTCCTCCCACAGTCCAAATATGTGCAGGTTAGGTAGATTGGCCATGCTAAATCGCCCCATATTGTCCAGGGATGCGTAGGCTAGGTGGGTTAGCCATGGGAAATGCAAGGGTTACAGGGGTAGAGTAGGAGTGTGTGCCTGGCTGGGATGCTCTTCGGAGGGTCAGTGTGGACTCAATGGGCTGAATGGCCTACGTCCACACTGTAGGGATTCTATTCTATTCTACTGACTCTGCAGACTTCCCTCAGCAACTGGACAAAGATACATGACTGGAAAACTGCAATCAGATTAACTATTCACCCTTTTATTCAACTTTGGAATAAATGGGTCTGAAGGGAGGGAAAAGGGATACGTTCAAAATAAAAATGAGATGAGTTACTAAAATCATAGAATGGTTACAGCTTGTCCTGCCATACAAGGGAGATGATTGTGAGGGGGGCATTTTGGATGTCAGGACTTTGGAGATTGTGATTCCCTCAGTGCTTTGAGAAACTGAGTTGCAGGATTTATGCTGACATAGGCCAGAAATAGACCATTCAGTCAAGTCAGCCATACTATTTAATACAATCATGGCTGATCAAACATTTCAATGTTTTTCACCCGCACAATCCTGATACTTCTTTAAGCCATTGATAATCAAACGTGCATCAACTTCTACTTTAAACATGCTCAAAGACTAAAGCATCCATAGGCCTCTGGTGTAGAGAATTCCAAAGATTCACAGCACTCTGAATAAAGAACAATTCTCTTCACCTCTGATCTAAGTGGCATCCATTTATTTTTAAATTGTGCCCCTAGTTCTAGATTCCCCAACCAGGGGGATTATCGTAACTGCATCTACCCTGACTGTCCCTTCAAGTATTTATGTAGGCATCAATGTGAACACCTCTCATTCTTCAAAGCTCTGGAGAATACAGGCCCAGTTTGCCCTATCTCTGTGCATAGGACAGTCTCACCGTACCAGAAGCAAGACTTTTTTTTAATAGAATCCCTACAGTGTGGAAACAGGCCCTTCGGCCCAACAAGTCCACACCGATCCTCAGAACATCCCACCCAGACCCATCCACCTAATCTACACATCCCTGAACACTACAGGCAATTTAGCATGGCCAATCCACCTAGCCTGCACAGAAGGTTGAGGCAGGTACAATAGCAGCATTTAAAAAACATTTGGATAGATACATGGATGAGAAGGCTTTAGAGGGATATGGACCAAATCAGGCAATTGGAGTGGGCACCATGGTCAGCATGGACCAGTTTGGGCCTAAGGGCCTGTTTCCATGCTGTATGCTGTATTCTATGACTCTATGACTCTATACCAGGAATTGGGGACTTTAAACAAGAAAAGATTAAGTAAATTAGTCTTTAGTTCAGTTTCTGATTAATGGTAAACATCAGGATGTTGGTAAAGGGGAATTCAGCTATGGTAATTCCACTGAGTAGAGTCATAGTCATAGAGTGATACGTCATGGAAACAGGCCCTTTGGTCCAACAAGTCTACACTGACCATATTACCAAACTAAACTAGTCCCACCCGCCTGTGCTTGCATGATGGTTAGTTTGTCTCTTGTTGGAGATGGTCATTGACTGAAACTTGTATGGCATGAATGTTATTTGCCACTTAAAAACAAACCATAAGAACTGTGGATGCTGCAAATCAGGAACAAATACAAAGTTGTTGGAAAAGCTCAGCAGGTCTGGCAGCATCTGTGAAGGAGAAAACAGAGGTAACATTTCGGGTCCAGTGAACTATACCAATGGTCATTCATACTAATACTGTCATGGACAAATGCATCTGTGACAGGCAAATTGATGATGAGGTCAAATACCCTCTTATCATTCCTTCACCATCTAGAACCAATTCCTTTAGGACTTGACAAGCTCGGTCAGTAAAAGTGCTGATTCATCTGCTGAGGAGGGTAGTTGCCCTGATTCAATGAGATGTCATGGGATCAAGAGTAAATGTTGAGTACTCCATTGGCAACTACTTCCTGACTGCCACATCTGCTGGGTCTGTCCTACCAGTGGCTACAGGACATGTCGAGGAATAGTGATAGTGGTGCCAGTTTGTTGCTTGACTATTTGTGCCATAGATCTCTCAGTACTGCACCAGACCCCATATTTTGGCAATTCCATTAGCCTGAGTTTGCCATTGTTTCCAGCGCCTAGGTCAATATTAGGTAGTCTGTCCAGTTCCTTCTTTTTCAGAAATTTTAGTGATGCAATACAATTGCCTTGATATGACATTTAAGAGGAGAGTGAGGAACCAACCACATTGTTTTGTGAATGGAGTCACATGTCGGGTACTCCAGGTAAACTTGGCAGGTTTCCTTCCCTAAACAACATTATTGAACCAGGTGGGTTTTACCACAAATGACCATGGTTCCAAGGTCATAATTAGATTTTTAATTCCAGATTCTATTTAAATACAAGTTCCAGCATCTGCTGTGGTGGGATTCAAACCTGGGTCCCAAAAAACATTACTTGGGTTTCTGGATTACTAATCCAGCACCAATACCTCCTGCTTCCAACAACTGCCTCTCCTAAATGCCAAAATCAATAGACTTATCAGGCAGTTTGATGTTTGCATGTTGCCTGCATTAAATGGAAAGGGTGCAATTTAGTCACATATCCTGATCTTCGTATTAAATTTCAATCCCCAGGATTCACCTCCTTACTATTTTAGAACCTCTCCCTGTGTAATCTATGGAAACAGTGAGGTGCACAGTGCATGTATTGCAAATTTCTACATTCATATGGTGCAGTTTGGTTTTCTCCAAAAGATGTTGCAATGTCTACACCTTTTAATCAGGGTGTAAAATGATAATTTAGGGCTTTTGGCTTTTGTGATGCAATGATATTAGTCTGGGTTCAAGTTGCACTTGCCACAAAGGTGTGTTGTTAAAAGTTTGCTTAAAAATGTTTTTATTATACAATGTACAGCCTAATCAAATAAACTATAGAAATAAAAGTTATTGGTGTACATTTCAGACGAACAATTCCTCAATTACTGTGAAAACAGCAACTCGCCAAATACATAACTTCTTCGAGGCATGTTTCTCAGAATAGCTCTGATATTAGCTTTGTCCTTGTTTAGTCATTAAATTCTATTTGTTAGTTCTGTGTGTCAGAATATTGAAAGCATTTTAGTTCTGCTCAGTAATGAAATTCCTATCATTCAGTAATGACATTGCTGCTCCTACACACCTAAGTCATACTTTGGATCAACCCAACATTTATCACTCAGGACCTTTGGCAACCAAGACAGCTCTAGTGAATAATTAGGTTTCATAATGATGTTATTGGTTAGAAACAAAGTAATCTTCTAGCATTTCAACTGAAATGGTCATTTACTCCAGTAAAGGGAATGGATCTGTCATAGAAACGTGGGACAGCTTGCAACTGTTTGTGGGACAGTTTCTACCAAATAATATAGAGAATTAGTTTTGACATTTAAAAAATCGTTGACAAGGATACAGACGCATTCCTCTTGGTCAAACGGAAATACTTCCAAGTATTTCCCTCTCAAGTCTTCATATACCAGTAAAATTGCTCAGAGATGTTTGTATAGCTGTTCTTCTAAGAATACTTTACCCCATATGACCTCTTTCTTCCTTTTCCCAGATCATGGACAGAATTTTATGATTCCCTCAAAGCTTTGTAAAATTGGTTTGTAAAAGTCGGTCTGTAAAATTCCCAAAACGGCCTTCTTGCTACCCTCATGCCCTTTTGTAATTGGCCACTCACAGACAGCGTCCTACCTGGCTTCAATATTTCAGGCTGGCAGGAGGAAGCCCAGTATGTCACTCTGTTCAAACCTTAGGCAAGAAGGTGGCATAGAGTTTACAGTATGGAAAGAGGACCTTCAGCTCATTCTTCTGGAATTTTTTTTGAGGATGTGACCAGTAGAGTGGACAAGGGTGAATCAGTAGATGTTGTTATATCTGGACTATCAAAAGGCTTTTGACAAGGCTCCACACAAGAGATTAGTAAGGAAAATTAAAGCTCATGGTATTGGAGGTAATGTATTGGCATGGATAGAGAACTGGTTGGCAGACAGGAAGCAATAAGTTGGAATAAATGGGTCCTTTTCAGAGTGGCAGGCAGTGACAAATGGGGTGCCACAGGATTCAGTGCTGGGACCCCAGCTGTTCACAATATATGTTAATAATTTGGATGAAGGAATTGAATGCAATACCTCCAAATTCTCAGATGACGCTAGGCTGGGTGACAGTGTGCACTGTAAAGAGGATGCTAAGAGACTGAAGGGTGACTTGGACAGGCTGGTTGAGTGGGCAAGTACTATCCTGATACTGGGGAAGTCTAGAACTAGGGGTCACAGTCTAAGAATAAGGAGTAAGCCATTCAGGACTGAGATAAAGAAGAATTTCTTTACTCAGAGTTGTGAACCTGTCGAATTCTCTCCCGCAGGAAGCTGTTGGGGCCAGTTCATTAGATATATTCAAGAGGGAGCTGGGCATGGCCCTTGCAGCTAAAGGGATCGATGGGTATGGGGAGAGGGCGGGAATGGGATGCTGAGGTTGCATGCTCAGCCATGATCGTATTGAATGGTGGCGTGGACTTGAAAGGCCGAATAGCCTCCTGCTGCACCTATTTTCTTTGTTTCTATGTTTCTATTCTTCACTATCTATTCCAAACCCATTTTCCAGTTCATAGCCTTTTGTGCAATGATATTTCAAGTGCTCATCAGAATACTTAAGTCCACGACATGCAGGAGGAGAGGTAGTCCA